GTAAAGTTTTAGAATTATGATTTGAGAGTAGAGTTGTATTTTGAGTTTGTGAGTTTTGAAATTATGATTTGAAAAGAGAAAGTTTGTTTGGTTATGAGTTTTGGAAAGAGTTATGAACTGAGTTTTGAATTTTTGATGTGACATGAATTGAGAAAAGTTGTTTGGTTATGAGTTTTGAAAAGAGTTTTGAATTTTTGATGTGACATATGAATTGAGAAAAGTTGTTTGGTTATGAGTTTTGAAAAAAAGTTTTCAAAACTTAATTCAAAAATTTATAACTTATAACTAATCACATAACTCAAAACTCTATTGAAAATTCTATTCAAAACTCATAACCACTCTTTTTAACATTTAATTCAAAAAAATAATTTGTCATTTTGATCTAAAAAAAATAATTTCTATATTTAAAAGATATCAAAAACAAATATATATATATATATATATATTTCAAATAACAGGTGGCGATTGGCAATTGAAAAAAAAAAAAAAAAAAAAAAAATTTTCTAGTCAACCGGCCGGATGACCGAGTAGACCCAAAATTTAAAAACAACTTTGCTTTTTAGAATGGAGAAGATGAAAGAAAGAGAGTATGTACGAATCTGCCAAACGTGAAAAAGAAATATATTTTGAAATGTGTGATGGAATTACATTTTCAAAAGACTTTTTCTTAATGAATAAATTATACACTATTTTCTCATAAAACACCAAGTTTACGGACAGCTAATTGACCATCAACATATAAGCAAAACGATAGGCCCACCACAATAAAATATTCCATCCCAATCCTTCACTCGCTTGATCCTTTCCTCTTGGTTTGTTTAAATTACAACACTATCATCATTCACCAAAACCCAACACCAATTCATTGATTAAATTTGTTTAAATTACAACTTTGATGGTGATGATACGTTCAATTGGTGGTGATTTCAAACATGCATCTGTGCGGTCAGCAGTCATGGGTTTTTTCATTTTATTGGTGTCCATCAATGGCCACGAAGAATTTAGGTAGGAATAATGTTGCAACTTGGAAATTTTATCAATTAACTACAAATTTGATTCTAGATTGGTGTAAAATTTTGTAGAAATGTCTATAATTCGGTAGATAATTGTAAAAATTTTCCATCATAAGGTGGTGGAAGGATATAGATAGCTTTCATGCTACTAGATCATTGATCATTGATATTTGTAAATGTCTAGACTATTAATTAAAGCCTTGAACGTCTATAAATATTGGAGGCAATCATTTGATTATGATGGGAGAATCTAGATTGTTTCGACACCATATGTGAGGCATCATTTGGCCAAACTAACAAAGCAATTCTAAACTTGTGAATTCCATTAAATTGTTTTTCTTTTGTGTACTCTTACTATCAACTCAAACTCTACCTTCTTGTGAATTTACTACTCTCAATTCAAACTCTCTCTATCCACTTCTGACTTAAACTCTATAATATCTTGAAAGTCCATTAGGGGCGAGTATCTTCTAACTCAAACTCTATACTATCTTGAAAGTCCATTAGGGGGTGAGTATCAAACCATGGTCCTCCATGGCCTAGTACACATATTCACCTGTTTCTAGGATTCTCAAATCTATTCACCTTAACTATGTTAGTTCCTTTTATAGTATATGTTTATGTTCATATTTATTTTTTTTGCTGTTGATTATTGAGAAGATTGAAGAGAAAGAGATTAAGATTTGGAATCGATAACTAACTAATAGCATCCTCAATAGTTTAAGATTGCACACAAGTAATTATTATAAATTTTGTATCCTAGTAGATGTTGCAGTTTTGAGGACTGATAGTTTTCTTTTTCCATGTTTGAACAGCTGGTTACATAGACCTTCCTGACGTGTTTAGAGTGGGCTTTGTCATGGCGCTTATTAATGCTATAATCTGGGGCGTTGTTGGGGGTTTCTGGTGGAAGTTCTTGGGCCTATATTGATTCTTGACGATTTTCATGTAAATTAAAATAAATTTTCCTCCTGTTGTACGATGTCCTTCTGTCTCGGGGCAAAATCATTTACTTTCAAAGAAAATTTGTCAATTTTTAGCCCTAACCTAACATTCAGGGGAGCTCTCTTTGGGCAGTATTCTAGTGAAATAATTCTCATTAAAATTAAAAAGATGCATTATTTACTCTTTTTTTTTTTCTTTTTTTTTTTTTTTGTGCAAATCAAAATTTTAACAAATTGTTGAAGATATATTTTGTGTCAAGTCTGATTGGATATTTAAGCTTTAGCGGCATTGTTAGGTTGTTTCTTCCTATATATGGCTTTATTTATTATTGCAGTAGTAATGTGATGATCATAATGACTATGTAGCAATGCTCTTGTACATTGTTAATGGAGATTTGATAAAAGTAGTTAATAAAAGGTTGAATTTTTTTATTATATTGTTTCACTTTGCTCACCCTCTGGATCTAGGGTTTACTTTGTTAACCCTTTTTGTGGGGAAGATGTAGCATTTTACTTCGTTTGTTTTGGTAGAAAATATTTTTCGTATGACAACTTTTTTCAAAAAATGTTTTTCATAGAAAACATATTTCTATGTTGATTGCAACCTTGAAATGCAACTAATATGTTAGTAGTTGTATTGATGGTGATGGTGGTGGTAGAGGAGGTGGTATTGTAACCACAAAGGAAATACAATCACGAAGAAGGAAAGATCAAGTTTAGAATGGAGAAGATGAAAGAAAGAGAGTATGTACGAATCAGCCAAACGTGAAAAAGAAATATATTTTGAAATGTGTGATGGAATCACATTTTCAAAAGACTTTTTCTTAATGAATAAATTATACACTATTTTGTCATAAAACACCAAGTTTACGGACAGCCAATTGACCATCAACATATAAGCAAAACGATAGGCCCACCACAATAAAATATTCCATCCCAATCCTTCACTCGCTTGATCCTTTCCTCTTGGTTTGTTTAAATTACAACACTATCATCATTCACCAAAACCCAACACCAATTCATTGATTTAATTTGTTTAAATTACAACTTTGATGGTGATGATACGCTCAATTGGTGGTGATTTCAAACATGTATCTGTGCGGTCAGCAGTCATGGTTTTTTTCATTTTATTGGTGTCCATCAATGGCCACGAAGAATTTAGGTAGGAATAATGTCGCAACTTGGAAATTTTATCAATTAACTACAAATTCGATTCTAAATTGGTGTAAAATTTTGTAGAAATGTCTATAATTCGGTAGATAATTGTAAAAAATTTCCATCATAAGGTGGTGGAAGGATATAGATAGCTTTCATGCTACTAGATCATTGATCATTAATATTTGTAAATGTCTAGACTATTAATTAAAGCCTTGAATGTCTATAACTATGGGAGGCAATCATTTGATTATGATGGAAGAATCTAGATTGTTACCATATGTGAGGCATCATTTGGCCAAACTAACAAAGCAATTCTAAACTTGTGAATTCCATTAAATTGTTTTTCTTTTGTGTACTCTTACTATCAACTCAAACTCTACCTTCTTGTGAATTTACTACTCTCAATTCAAACTCTCTCTATCCACTTCTGACTTAAACTCTATAATATCTTGAAAGTCCATTAGGGGCGAGTATCTTCTAACTCAAACTCTATACTATCTTGAAAGTCCATTAGGGGGTGAGTATCAAACCATGGTCCTCCATGGCCTAGTACACATATTCACCTGTTTCTAGGATTCTCAAATCTATTCACCTTAACTATGTTAGTTCCTTTTATAGTATATGTTTATGTTCATATTTATTTTTTTTGCTGTTGATTATTGAGAAGATTGAAGAGAAAGAGATTAAGATTTGGAATTGATAACTAACTAATAGCATCCTCAATAGTTTAAGATTGCACACAAGTAATTATTATAAATTTTGTATCCTAGCAGATGTTGCAGTTTTGAGGACTGATAGTTTTCTTTGCCATGTTTGAACAGCTGGTTACATAGACCTTCCTGACGTGTTTAGAGTGGGCTTTGTCATGGCGCTTATTAATGCTATAATCTGGGGCATTGTTGGGGGTTTCTGGTGGAAGTTCTTGGGCCTATATTGATTCTTGACGATTTTCATGTAAATTAAAATAAATTTTCCTCCTGTTGTACGATGTCCTTCTGTCTCAGGGCAAAATCATTTACTTACAAAGAAAATTTGTCAATTTTTAGCTCTAACCTAACATTCAGGGGAGCTCTCTTTGGCAGTATTCTAGTGAAATAATTCTCATTAAAATTTAAAAGATGCATTATTTACTCATCTTTTTTTTTTGGTGCAAATCAAAATTTTAACAAATTGTTGAAGATATATTTTGTGTCAAGTCTGATTGGATATTTAAGCTTTAGCGGCATTGTTAGGTTGTTTCTTCCTATATATGGCTTTATTTATTATTGCAGTAGTAATGTGATGATCATAATGACTATGTAGCAATGCTCTTGTACATTGTTAATGGAGATTTGATAAAAGTAGTTAATAAAAGGTTGAATTTTTTTATTATATTGTTTCACTTTGCTCACCCTCTGGATCTAGGGTTTACTTTGTTAACCCTTTTTGTGGGGAAGATGTAGCATTTTACTTCGTTTGTTTTGGTAGAAAATATTTTTCGTATGACAACTTTTTTCAAAAAATGTTTTTCATAGAAAACATATTTCTATGTTGATTGCAACCTTGAAATGCAACTAATATGTTAGTAGTTGTATTGATGGTGATGGTGATGGTGGTGGTGGTAGTAGAGGAGGTGGTATTGTAACCACAAAGGAGATACAATCACGAAGAAGGAAAGATCAAGAGAATAATAGGAATAACCAAATTTATATTTGCTGGCCTTCTAGTCTTTTGCTGAATACAACACATTAGAGCTCCTTGTATAGGCAAAGGAGGAGCTCTAGGACAAACATGCTACAATAGTCCCCATACCAGAGTTGAGACTAAGAAAACCATTCTTCAATTTCAATTTCAATTTCTAATAATTGAGTTACAATATTGGATCAAAGAACAAAATTACCAGAAATTACTTGGAAACTCAAAACAATGAATTGAATTTGAATTGAATTTCATGATAAATTGCACAAGATGAAGTTCAACTTTTTGAAGAGGGGGAAAAATTTTGTATTCATTGAGAACTATCATCTTCCGTTGTAGTCACTAACATCCACAGTAAAAGTTACAAGCTTACATTTTGTATTTTCATGTATACTGGTATAATACATGTATGTATACCTTTCATGTATGCCAAGACTCCTGAAGAATGCACCTTTGGTTATGTATCACCCAATGCTCCTGAGCTTCCTGACATTAATTGAATGATCATCAAGTTCATCGTCATAATCATCACCACCACCATAACTTCTATGGTTCATATTAGGCTGGTTTAATCTCTGGAATATGTCATCGAGGGATTCAGATGAGGAAACCAGGGAGTGTTTTGTATCTTGAATTTCGCGCAAGGGAAGGAATTTCTTGGCACCCATATTAGACTTCAGATTTTGGAGACCAGTCTTCATAGATTCCCAGGTTGAGGATAATCTGGAAGATGGTCCGGCTGTTGTATTCTGGGAGCTGCCTGCATCAGGGAAAGTAGCATTGAAGGATGCTCTTCTGCTCTTCTCTGTCAAATTTTGTGTGATCGGTTGTTTGCTCTGTTGTGCTCTTACAGCTACGTACTTTCTGGCAATGGATTCTCTGCTGGTTTGATGATGGGCCTCTCCTCTTGAAAGTATTAAGTAATCTCTCTGCCCATCCTCGATCAAACTGGTTGTTGTTTTTGTGTCAACGGCAACCTTATACAGACCATTTTTGAGTAATATGTAGTGTTACATTCTTGTGGAATAATAAAAGGGGGGGAAAATTAAATAAGCATGAAGCTTGGATAGAGCCAACAGCAGCCTAAGATCTGTAGGCACAGACACAAATCTTGTGTTGCACCATGAGCATGAGCTAAGAAGCCCCCACACTCCTGGGTGTTGTGTCCGTGTCCAACACGTCAGACACCAACACAGCGTGAACACGTGTATCCACACGTCCAACATGCTACGTGGCGTGTCTATTTTTTAAAATTTTATTTTTTTGTAGGACACGCAGGAAACACTTGATGGACATGTGTGACCTATGTATAGACATGGCTCAGGATACCTTTAAAATTGATTTTTATAATTTCAGAAAGTGATTTAGGGTCAAGTAAAATTTACGGAAACAAAGAGAGAAAAAGTAGAAAAGAAATAAAAATACACCCATATATAGATCAAAACCTCTCATTTTTATATATTCTAAGTTTATATTCATATACATAGTAAATAAAAATATTGTATATATATATTTGGCCATATCCCCACTGTGATGTATCCTAATTTTTTGAAAATCTGTGTCCCGTGTATTTGTCCGTGTCCTAATTTCATAAATTAGAAAAATATATTTTTAGGCATTCCCAATAATAATAAAAAAGCACACAATAGAATTGCAACTGGTATTCTTTGTTAAAAAAGAAAAGAACAAAAGACAATACCTTGATATATTACTAGGAGCTAACACATACCTTGTTATTGCTGCTAGACTCAAGATCCATATTTATGTCGTTGAAATTCCTTGCTAATGGAATAACAAGTTCACCAACTTTATGACCTTGATCAAGCCAAGAACGTTCTGAAAATATAAAAACAAAAAAATAATAAATTTTCATAGGTTTTAAGCAAATATAGTGGATATTAATAGGAGGAAAAATTATAATGAACTGTTTTCGTTTAATTTTCAGTTCTTCCCCCCCGTAAATGCTATAGCCCACAGGTGCAAGAATGCTGAGCCCAGAATAGCATAATGCCAATACTTGCAAAATGTGAGAGATAACCCCAAACACGTGCCACATACAAACAAAGACATGATCTGTTTACACACCTTTCTGCAAAATCATCAATCCTGATGGATCGAATCCGTCATCTATATCATCAGCTTCACTTTGAAATCTGAATATCTTCCAGTTTCCAAAATAATCAATGATCCGATCAAAAAAATTGCTCGCAATCATTATGGTGTATATAACCATGATAAGTGGGTAGATTTTATTAAATCCATTTCCAAAGAAAGGGACAGCTTGATCAATATTCCCCATTCTCTGCACATAAAAATGGGATTTTGTTACTTCAAATTGTATAATCAACAGTTAAGAGGAGAGAAAAGAGATGACTGTGGTGTATAGATTCTTCTATGTACAGGAATATGACTAGTTTTTTTTTTGGATAAATTTAATACGGTTGACAATGACGTGCTTAATAACATAAAGTGGGTCAAAAAGAATAATGACTACCAAGCAAAATTACGACACAAGTACCACCAAACATACAGATTAAACAACCTGCCCTATTTTCCTCCAAACTCATTCAAAGAAAAATCTTCTTCAAGCCAAATGCTTTAAGCTCCATGTACACTCGTATCCACAAAACATAAATTTATATGTTTGGGTGCTTTAAGTCTAGCAAGACATGGTCAGAAATATACTATTGGGTAAAGGGCTTGTCTCATGATGAAATTTCAATAACCTAGCCCATTACAAACTAGTGTTCTGTTTCTCCGTGTTCAAAGCTTGGTATGTTTCGACCAACCTAATTAAATCCCAATACACAATTTTTCAAGCAGATGAAGAAGCTATAAATGATGGTCCTTTATTTCTCCTACAGTCACCCAAAAGTGCAGTACCTTGATTTTTCATTTTCCCACTTGTCTGATTAGGTTAGGTCTTTCCATTTATTTCCCAATTCATCACAAAAATACAACTAACAATTAGCACCAAAATTATGTTTGATGACATTTGCTTCACATCATGTTCTAATGGGCATTATTGTCATCATCATAATTTAACACCGAGTGTCACTAATTTTTATTCCACAAAGCCCTTTGATTTTCATGTGATCTTGCTGTTCAGGTGTCATAGGTTAATAGCTTCTTTCCATTTCACATTTTACGAAGAGCAAAATGAGCCATGGCAGAGGCTACACTAGCATCACATGAAATTTAGGGTTGGGTTATTATTTGGGTTAGGATGGGTTGTCAAATACAAGGATAAAAGCTATTGTTTCCAATCCCAACCATCCCAGTACTTCACATTATTTCTAATGGAGCCAATGGGTCATGGAAACAACATCAACAGATTGTACAGAAGTGATACAATTATCAATATGTATTAAAAAACAAACAAATAAAAAAAACTCACCTTTTCAAAGATAGTTTTTTTATCCTCATCCTTCTCACCAAGACGAATAAGATTGAGAAAGTTGTAGGAAATCGGAGGTGCATATCGCGCGACCATCCTGGTAAATATGTGGATTGAGAATTATTACCAACATCTTTGTGAAGAAATTACACATGAAGAAGATCTCTCCGAGTTAGAACAATGCTTCAGTAAAGAATCAAAATAAAAAAAAACATACGAGCATATCATAAGCAAACTGACTGAACTTGTTTGCCTTGGAGTGAATGAATAGAATGTCAACATTCCAATTTTGAATAAGGAATAGTATGTGCACACACACATGTACATCAGAGGAATGAAGGCAGCCACCTGCAAACAAAAAACAAATCAATCTTCAAGGATACTAGAAAATAAAACCCAACTTGTTGGGTATGGTAACAAGGTGGATTTTTGGAGTCATTTGTGATGTGGGGAGGAGAAGCTAGTGACATCTTTTTTCTACCACTGCTTCTAAGTTCTAACAGAGATTATATGAAGAAAGAAAAAGGTAACCAAGCTTTTTGGGACATTTGCCTTTTATAGATATTTAAATGATCGGGAGGTAGAAAAGTTGATGGATCATTTGTCTGCTCTATGCTCTTCTCCTCCTTGGATAAGGATAGCACGCTTTTCGTTGATGGGTTTTTTTCAGTCTTCTCTACACTCTTCTTCTCTTTTGGACGAGGATGGCATGCTTTGCATAGAGAGATGATTTTCCCCTAGAGAGGTTTGGGGATCTAAGGCCACATCTAAGGTTGCGTTTTTTGTGTGGACTACACATGGTAAGATCCTGACAATTTGATCAAGAGGGAATACATTCACGCCAATTGATGCTGTATATGTAAAGAGGTCAAGGAATCATTTAACCATCTCCTTACCCATTGTAGAATGGCTAGACTCTAGAGATTGTGGCCTTGATTCTTGGTATGCTTGCAGTGGTTAGGACTTTCCCTAATGTGATGGATATTCTCTTTGTGTGGAAGGGGGCTAGTGTGGGGAAGAGAAAGAAAAAGGCATAGCTTTTGGTGCCTCCAGCCATGATGTGGTTTATTTGGAGAGAACACAACAAGAGAATCTTTGAGGGAGTTAAAGAATCTCTCTTTAATTTGAAGGCCTGTTTTGTTTTTATGGTTTTCGAATGGTATTGATCCACAATTGAACCAATTTTTAGACTTCTTTATTTATTATTTTTTAGTAGTTTTTTTTTGCCTTTTTGCTTTTTCTGGCACCCCCTTAATGAAAGCTTCTTTTTTTTTTCCTTTTTTTTTTATAACATTTTACTTATATATATATATATATGGCAAATGCTAAAAAGTGCCCCCTATGCATTGTTTAATATTGGGAAAATGTGTAAAAAACGTCTTGAAAATATGTGAAAAGGTTAAAAAGCGTATTGATTTTAGTAAAAGTGCATTAAAATTAATGAAAAATGTATTGTATTCTACAAATATTGTCTTTTACTTATGCCCTAGAGGCAATTGTTAGTAAGACCCTATATATATAAAACAAAATAAAAAAAAAAGGTCATTGAAGCTGTACTCAATAATCAAACTTTGAATCTGAAGCATAAAACTTAAATATATGAAGTCTCTACATAAATTGAAGGCTTTGATTTTCACCAAAGATGAGCTCATGCAACTAAAAGCACTAAAAAAAAAATTATTACAGAATTTACCTGCACTAGTACCTCTTGCTTTCCTACAGCATTTATCAGTATAGAGAATAGAGACAAATCAACTCCACTTGGAAGTATAGTAGCCTCAGCCAACAGAATTGCAGCTGACATGCAACCAAGTATCACAGCCAAGACTTTCTCAAGTTGCTTCCTTAGAATACACCGGTAGACCAACTCTGCAAGGAGTTGAATTACCAATCACATGAGAGCTAGTATATTTACAAGGATGTGTATGGACTTAAAGGAAAGAAGGAAAAATGATGAGTAAATTGCATAATAATCGCCAAAGAAGGTGCAAACCTTGCATTTATTTATGGTCCATACACAAGAAAGAAGGATAAAATAAAATGACTATATACAGACAACAGAATCTAGAGTATCAATAGGAGACAAAAATAACTAAACCAGGGATCAAGTCTCCCCATCACCCAACTAAAACCGAAAAAATGTTTTCAAACTATGAATGGAGTCCTCGACTACATGAAAAGATCTCTTAGTCTACTCCAACCAAATACACTTCATCCAACAAAGGGGCAGTTCCCAAAGTCAGCTAAACTTAATCACTTCCCAATGCATCAAATCAACTATCAATCTAGGAAAGACCCAAATCATGCCTTAGAAAGGTGAAAAGCAATGACCGAATCTCTTTAACCATGCTATGTTGAATGATGGACATCTAAAATAGAATGAAAAATAATTCCTCTACATTTTATGTAGCAGCTGATATGATGCCATTTTTGTTCTCATGGCAGTTACAGAATGAATCTATCACATTGAATATTTATACATGGCATATTGACCAGAATTTGATAAAAATGCTGTTCAAATTTCATACAACAACGATTGAAAGGATGATCAGACTTTTCCAATAATGCAAATATCATCTCTTTCCAAAGTATTTCATTGGGTCATCATATGCAATGGAAAACGAAACGAAATGACTTCATACCCATAGGACATCCAAAAACCTGTCATTTAATTGCTTTAATAACCAAGGACTAAAATGCCTATTAAGAGTAGTGCAATTAAAAACAGGCCTAATAACTGAAGCAGGTAGTATATTTCAAAAAAGGTCATAATTTCAATCTCGAAAGATGGCCGGCAAAAAGGGGAGAAAAAAGTGCAAACAAAACAAATAACTTCAGAAATTTGTTGATATTTACCAATCATATCAAGAAAGGATCCTAGTGCGCCTGCTCGCTCAGGCCTAAAGCTTGAAATGAATTTCCTGCAAATTTACAAAAATTAAAATTAAAATTAAAAAAATAATAAAATTTACAATCAACAGAAACAAACTTGGAGTTAGCACACATAACAAACTAAGGTAATATGTGGCACCAAATTTCCAATGGTAAGGATCTTCTAGAAGACAAAATTAAGGAAAGGCCTTGGGTTGGACTTCCTTTTGGACTTATCCTACAAATGCCTTCAAAGGGGTGTGTACCTTTAAGCTCTGTTTTGAGGGTTGGGGAGGTCATTTACTACATACAAACTCCAATGATTTCTAAACCTTCCCCTTCCTTTGGACCCCTCTGCCAGAAGAGAGACTTCAGTTGTGATGGAAGCCTTTCTAGGAAGCCACGTCAACTGGGATTTGACGGTATATTCAAGAAGCAATTGAGGGAACACGATTTGTTCCTTTCTCAAAACCTGCTTCCATAGGGTTTGCTCCAGAGGCAGAAACCACAACTCTTCTAGAAAGCTAGAACTAGATGACCTCCGAGAGGCTTATGCTTTGGGATTAAATGGCTTTTTGCTTCAGGGAAATTCTGTTGAGGTAGTAGGATGTACAATGATTTCATGCGCAATGTACAATGATTTTGTGTACCATTAAATTACACAACAAAAAAAATGAATAGCAATCAGTGGAAGGACAAAAAAGAAGAAAGCTTGGATTAAGAGCAAACCATCCAGTGGCATGGCGACGATCGTAATTCTTTATAGTGTCCTCCAGTTCGAGGGCTTCCATCACAAAATTCATATATTCACTACAAAGATAATTAAAAATTAAAAAATAAGTGAAATTCAGATTTGCATCCCTCTTGCAATCCATCTATCAAAGCATAATCAAAATTCAAGCTACCACTAGAGAGATCAAGCTTTGAGAGGCACAAAGCAAGGAAAAGGCTGTAATGTAAATGATGATGCAAAATTTGCAAATAAACGACTGCAAAAGTAGCCTTTGTTTTCATAAACTGATTGACACAATAAAAGCCAATCTGGGCAGAACTTTTGATGATACCATTGCTAGCATAGAGGAAATGCAAAAAATAAAAATGCATGAACATGAACAAATCCCATGTGTATGCTGTGGGTTAATCTTCAAAATTTCAGCACTCAAGTTGTTCACGTAGTAACTATGTACCTTTTGCACCGGTAATACTCCTCTCGAGCTCTTTTAATTTGAAGCCTAAGAGCCGCCATTGATTTTTCATCCGTGTCATAATCCATATCATTTTCTCCAAATCTTCCACCTTGTGGTTTGAAAGATGGATCTTCGCTAAACTAGTAGAGCAGGATAAGACCATTCGTTAAAAATGAAAAAAGAAAACAAGCTAAATGTCAAGCATGTATGCTTTGAAAAGCTTAGTGTTACACATACAAAAGTATTTTGAAACATAAAGCACCTCAGGTATAAACAAGTGTAATTACCATCTGAAGCAACATGTTATCAATAACATTCATGTAGGGTCTCAAAGGATCACGCTTAGACATTTGCTTTGATGTTGCTTGAGCAACCTAATAGAAAAAAACATCACAATTTGTCACTAAAGAAAACCAAAAATAAATCATAGAATGTCCAGGAAGTTCTACTCGTTATGGAATCTCAGGTGTTCATGTGTGGATTTTAGTTTTTTTAAAGAAGGAGGTGCTATGTTGGAAATGTATGAAATATAGTAAATATCATAAAGGTAGATGTAGTAGGCATACGGCACTTAAAAGTCGTACAGATGGTCATGTTTCATATCGAGCCATTGAAGCAGCATAGTTTAAATTTCATACACTTCAAGTATGAATTTAATTAAATATAAAATGAAGATCAAGAGTTCATGCAACAATAGATCTTTTGAATATGTTGAATAAGGAACAAATATTGCATAAATCTTATAATTTGGTGACACCAGGAGCCTAGGACTTCCCATCATTCACAATGAAGGCAAAGACTAAACCCTTGCAACTGAAATTCAACTATAGGTCTAGTAATTTCACACAAATGGAGAAACTGAAATTCAACTATATGTCTAGTAATTTCACACAAACGGAGAAGAGAACCACAATGTCTTCTTATCAATATCAAAAAAACAAAAAAGGACAAAAGGCAAGACTCAACATATTGAAGAGTAACACATACTATCAAAAGGTTGAACTCTAAGATAATTGGCATTACCCATGCAAAGAAAATTGACCAACTTGAAAATGTTTTAGAAAATGGACCATCAAATGCATAAAAAACAAATGAACTCCGAACAAACCCAAAGCTCTACAGCAACCTCACAATTGATGACAAAATTATTTACAGAATCTCTTGCTTATTGGCGACAACACTTATTGACAACATGTTGTCAACCTCCCTATGTGATTAGCTCTCCTTTGGGCATTTTCTATCCATAACTGTCTCTCCCTCTGCCTCCAACTAATCTCCTCCAAAATCATAAGTCTTCCGACCTCCCCTTTCTTCTCAACTCTTTCACAAGAGATTAGACATGTTGATGACAAGGAGGGCAGAGAAGGCATCTCAGAAGTAGAGATATTGATATTCTCACCTCACCCTGCCAAAGACTTCCGTATTTCATTTCTTCAAATCCTCATCACTCCATTCATTACTCTGAAAAATGAGAATTTTGAAAGATATTGGAAAACCATCTAGTGCCTGTAGAATATTGTCAACAACTCAATACCCCATATTTACCTGGGTAAGATCTACAATTTTTTTGTTTGGATAAGTTTCAATTTCATTACTAGCATGTTTAAAAGTTTATCTATACTTTTTTAACACTAACAGTATTCTCTATGTCTCTTACTTCCTTCAGTTTCTGTCTTAGTCATGGATGACAAATGACCATTGCAGCATATTCCAAAATAATTCCTTAGTGTTTTATTTTGTTCCTTAATAACTATAGTTATTGAGAGAGAGAGAGAGAGAGAGAGAGAGAGAGAGTTTAAAATATATACAAGGAAAAAAGTTCAGAATGTCACCAAGGGATGACACTTACTACAATTGCATTTGAAAATTCTTGATGAGCATCATCAAGTTTCACAGCCATTTTAGCCACTTTTTGAGAAAGAACCTTTTGACGAAAAGTCCAATCAACATTTTTCCAGATACCCTTTGGAATCTCACTCAAACCAAAGCCAAGAAGAAATGCACCAGTTACGAGCCCAAAAGTATTTGAACAAGCCATCGCAAAACCAAGAATAGTAACATTCCTACAAATACCATATCAAGATTTGAGAATAGTTAAATAAAAGACACCAGTCATAAACATTCAAATGGAACTAAGATACACAAGTTAAAAACCATGCACTGCTGGTGGTTGAAAAGGCAAATAAATAGGTTTCCAACAAACAGCTGCCAATCCATCCATGCAAAATAAGTTATATCATAACAAAGACATTCAGTAATCTTCCAAAAACATGACAGAATACACTATAATATCATTTTGTTCCAGAGTGATCAATTACTTCCATCATATATATATAGATATATATATTTTTTACATATTTATAAGCAAATAGTTGCAATATTGATGAAGCCAAAGTAAAGATAATATAACGACTGGGCATCAGAAACAAATCAATGCAGAAACTCGAATGTTTTCTCTCTTTTGCAAATAATAAAAATTCAATCCCCGACTCAACCCTCCATTTTAGACGTCATATCTACACTGCACCACTAAAGAAACTTGTAAGCATGTGAATCTAAACCAAAAAGAATTTAAACCAAATAAATCAGGATTTATAGAAGAAAGCATCGGATCTGTATCAAACAACATTTATAGTCTAGCAGGTGAAAAAACAAACCTGTATTTGCGCAAAATAATGAGCAGTATAAGTCCAAAAAGTCCAATAGAACCGACACACAGGTAGAAGACTAAGTTTACATGTACACTAGTCTTCAATCTTTCTGCCACAGTGAAGTCCCCAGCATCTTCATAACCCTGAATTATAGGCACCACAGCCCTGCTTAGAGAAATAATTTCATACAAAACTATGAGAATATGTCCATCTTTAACAATGAAGCTACTAAAATGTACTCTAACCACCAGGGCATCTAAACTTATGAAGACAAAGCAATGGCAAAGGAAAGCACATGAAGAATATGCAGTTGCACAACTGCAGTAAGCGGCAGAATTTGAGAACTTCTGACCATTCAAAAATAAGGAAAAAAAAAATTTAGTCATATTTATAATACTTCTAACTAATGAGGACGCTTGAATACTTGAGGCAACATATAAACAAAACAAAACCAAGCCTTGTGTTCCTATCAATTGGGATCATCAGCTACATAAATCTTTTTCAGCAATTCCGCTTTGTCAAGGGCTATATGCTCAATAGTCAACATCCTGTGCTAGTAGTTGACCCCAAACATATAATAATACAAATACAAAGATAATATATACACTAAGTGAAGTACAAAGGACAGGGAGGAGAATATACACACAAACTTGCAAAGTTAAAGAAGAGGAAAATTACAGTTTTCAATCATGTTAAGCATATCAAGAGCAAGGATGTAAGGGTCTAGGTGAAAAATAGGTATATAACAAAGATGTGGAAAAGTTGAAAAGTTGTTTGAGTGAAAATCTTATCAAAAACTTAAATTTAGAAGAATATGGTATATGTAGGAGGATTAAAGGGAAAAATGGATGTTGGAGGTAAAATTGCACAAGAAAGGAAAAACCAAAAGGGCAGTTAGGACAAGATGTTATTACTACTGAGATTGTAAGTATTTAGGAGATGATGATGCACCTCAGTTAGTAGAAAATATTTAATAACATCATAATAGATAAAGAAATGTTCAATGAGATCTCTTATAGTTCACCTTATGGTAGCCAATCTCCATTTTACTAGTCCTTTATTGTGTCAATATATTAATTTGTAAATTAAACTCATTTATGTTTAATCAACCATATTATATCATGTAGAAACCATATTAAGATCTTTCCCTTTCTCTCTACTCCTTTTCATTTTTCAGATACTACTATTTCAAGTAAGATTTTGTCCAATCACTCTTCCCAAAGTTTGATTGCATGATTTAGTTATTTTTCTTGAACATGGTATGATTCAGTTTAAGACTGCAATAGTTTATATGGAAATACTTTCTGTAGGGTTTAAACACTTTTTGCATCATTTTATATACTCAGCTTAATACATTCTATCAAACTTTAGAATACCTTTTCACTAAGGATTGACAGTACATCCTTATATTTTTACCCTAGTAATCAACAAATTGGCCAAACACGTCTGAAACAAGGTGTGATTTCACTATTGTAGGCTTTTACTGATGATATTGTTCTAATTGACAAAACAAAAAGCAAGGGTAAATGCTAGTTTTGAACAAATAAAAAATAAATAAAAAAGAAGAAGAAGAAGAAGAAGAAAAGACTCCATATTTAATACATGTGGAATCAAAAACTAAATATAAAAAATGTAATTTCAACAAAAATAGATACAAATAAGGAAGTAATGAAGTACAAAGACCAAGGAATATCAAAGAGTGACTAGTTTCATTCCTTAGGTATGAATCTCTGATGCAATACAATGGATGTTCAAGATGGATGTGTGGTGAAGAGAAGGACTATAAAATTGTATGTATTGCATTCCTAAGATGGTAGAAGTATAAGGTAGTTGGAAAATGAGAAACAAACTGGTAAGGTGGTTGGAAAGATCCCTTTTACAAGAGAGTTGGGCCATGGAGGCCAGTGAGATAGCAATGGGTAGGTATGATACAATTCCCAATTTATTACATGACTCGGTCAACCTTGATCTTTGTGTAAAAGCCCCCCAAGATAATATAACGACTGGGCATCAGAAACAAATCAATGCAGAAACTCGAATGTTTTCTCTCTTTTGCAAATAATAAAAATTCAATCCCCGACTCAACCCTCCATTTTAGACGTCATATCTACACTGCACCACTAAAGAAACTTGTAAGCATGTGAATCTAAACCAAAAAGAATTTAAACCAAATAAATCAGGATTTATAGAAGAAAGCATCGGATCTGTATCAAACAACATTTATAGTCTAGCAGGTGAAAAAACAAACCTGTATTTGCGCAAAATAATGAGCAGTATAAGTCCAAAAAGTCCAATAGAACCGACACACAGGTAGAAGACTAAGTTTACATGTACACTAGTCTTCAATCTTTCTGCCACAGTGAAGTCCCCAGCATCTTCATAACCCTGAATTATAGGCACCACAGCCCTGCTTAGAGAAATAATTTCATATAAAACTATGAGAATATGTCCATCTTTAACAATGAAGCTACTAAAATGTACTCTAACCACCAGGGCATCTAAACTTATGAAGACAAAGCAATGGCAAAGGAAAGCACATGAAGAATATGCAGTTGCACAACTGCAGTAAGCGGCAGAATTTGAGAACTTCTGACCATTCAAAAATAAGGAAAAAAAAAATTAAGTCAGTCATATTTATAATACTTCTAACTAATAAGGACGCTTGAATACTTGAGGCAACAAATAAACAAAACAAAACCAAGCCTTGTGTTCCTATCAATTGGGATCATCAGCTACATAAATCTTTTTCAGCAATTCCGCTTTGTCAAGGGCTATATGCTCAATAGTCAACATCCTGTGCTAGTAGTTGACCCCAAACATATAATAATACAAATACAAAGATAATATATACACTAAGTGAAGTACAAAGGACAGGGAGGAGAATATACACACAAACTTGCAAAGTTAAAGAAGAGGAAAATTACAGTTTTCAATCATGTTAAGCATATCAAGAGCAAGGATGTAAGGGTCTAGGTGAAAAATAGGTATATAACAAAGATGTGGAAAAGTTGAAAAGTTGTTTGAGTGAAAATCTTATCAAAAACTTAAATTTAGAAGAATATGGTATATGTAGGAGGATTAAAGGGAAAAATGGATGTTGGAGGTAAAATTGCACAAGAAAGGAAAAACCAAAAGGGCAGTTAGGACAAGATGTTATTACTACTGAGATTGTAAGTATTTAGGAGATGATGATGCACCTCAGTTAGTAGAAAATATTTAATAACATCATAATAGATAAAGAAATGTTCAATGAGATCTCTTATAGTTCACCTTATGGTAGCCAATCTCCATTTTACTAGTCCTTTATTGTGTCAATTTATTAATTTGTAAATTAAACTCATTTATGTTTAATCAACCATATTATATCATGTAGAAACCATATTAAGATCTTTCCCTTTCTCTCTACTCCTTTTCATTTTTCAGATACTACTATTTCAAGTAAGATTTTGTCCAATCACTCTTCCCAAAGTTTGATTGCATGATTTAGTTATTTTTCTTGAACATGGTATGATTCAGTTTAAGACTGCAATAGTTTATATGGAAATACTTTCTGTAGGGTTTAAACACTTTTTGCATCATTTTATATACTCAGCTTAATACATTCTATCAAACTTTAGAATACCTTTTCACTAAGGATTGACAGTACATCCTTATATTTTTACCCTAGTAATCAACAAATTGGCCAAACACGTCTGAAACAAGGTGTGATTTCACTATTGTAGGCTTTTACTGATGATATTGTTCTAATTGATAAAACAAAAAGCAAGGGTAAATGCTAGTTTTGAACAAATAAAAAATAAATAAAAAAGAAGAAGAGGAAGAAGAAAAGACTCCATATTTAATACATGTGGAATCAAAAACTAAATATAAAAAATGTAATTTCAACAAAAATAGATACAAATAAGGAAGTAATGAAGTACAAAGACCAAGGAATATCAAAGAGTGACTAGTTTCATTCCTTAGGTATGAATCTCTGATGCAATACAATGGATGTTCAAGATGGATGTGTGGTGAAGAGAAGGACTATAAAATTGTATGTATTGCATTCCTAAGATGGTAGAAGTATAAGGTAGTTGGAAAATGAGAAACAAACTGGTAAGGTGGTTGGAAAGATCCCTTTTACAAGAGAGTTGGGCCATGGAGGCCAGTGAGATAGCAATGGGTAGGTATGATACAATTCCCAATTTATTACATGACTCGGTCAACCTTGATCTTTGTCTAAAAGCCCCCCCCCCCTCTCTTTTTTTTGGGTTAAAAAAACCCAGCCCTATGTTTGGGCCTGATGTGCCGTTTTTTTCTTTCTTTTTTTTTTTTTTGAAAAGGAAAAAAAATCATTTTCAATACTTTAACGAATAAATATAATATATAAATCATAAAGAGAAATGCTTAATAGTTCGAAAGTTGAGCGGCTCGAATACCCTGAGTGTCAAAATGACGTTGTTTTGACACTCTCTGTTTTTTTTCTTTTTCCTTTTTCCTTGAACTGGTTTGAGAGAAAGATAGAGGCGAGAAAGAAACAGAGAGGCGAGAGAAAGAGAGGAGGAAGAAGAGAGGAGAAGAGAAAGAGGAGGAGGCAGCACCACCGCCGTCCCCTAGCCGCCGCCGATCGTCGCAGCACCACCTCCTCGCCGATCGTCGCACCACCACCACCGCCTCGCCGATCGTCGCAGTCGTAGCACCACCGCCTTGCCGATCACAGCTCGTTGCAGCACCACCGCCTCCGCCACTCCTCCGCCACTGGTTGAGGCCCCCTACATGATTTTGGAGGATCGGGTGTCCATCCTAGAAGTCTTGCTTTCCAAATTCGGGGACTTCAGTAAGAGTTCAAGACTTGGTACAAAGGCAACGATGTTATTCACAGTGACAGTATGTGAAGCTGTACACGACATATGCAGCACCAGGATCGGGGAAATAACTACAAGTCAACTTTTGATCTGGCTTCACTCCTTCGCTCTTGCTCAATATGCAGGCTTTGAAATTCAGTTTGTCATTGCTCGTTTGACAGAACTGGTGCGTACTCACTTTGGTCGCCAAGCTGATTATGACATTCCTGTAGACCTTGAGCTTGCCAAAATGGGTGTCCCGATTGCGACACAACTTGCAGTCGTAGATTCTAAAGAGCTCACCAATATTGAACAAGATGGAGAAACTGATGATGATCTCTGGAAGAAGGTATCTTGGCAGCTAACCATTATGAAACTAGATGATGCCATTGAAGATCTTAAAAAGAAGAAACAGGCACTTTTGAAGATGCAAGAGGATAGGTGCTTAAGAAAGGAGTGCTTGATTGATGTTCTAGAACTAGAGAGACAGATGGCAGGTGCAAGCCCATTGTGAAAGGGTCTACTACTACTAGCAACTACCATTGTTGCAGCAGGTTTGTGGTCCTTGGCTCTTGTGT